TGTCACCTACAAATAGAAATAGTTTTACCTCTTCCTTTCCAATCTGGATGCCTTTTTCCCCCCTTGTTTAATTGCCTTGGCCAGAACCTTCAAAATAATGTTGAACAGAAGTGGTGAGACCAGACATTCTTGTCTTGTTCCTGACCTTAGGGGGAAAGCTTTCAGTCTTTCACCATTAAGTATGACATTAACTAAGGTATTTTGTAGATGCCCTTTATCAGGTTCAGGAAGTTCCCTTCAGTTCCTAGTTTGTTGAGCATCTTTATTGTGAAAGGGTGTTAGATTTTTTCAAATGCCTTTTCCTATGCCTACTGAGATGATGGTGTGGTTTTTGTCCTTTATTCTATTAATATGTTGTATTCCATTGACTGGTTTTCATATGCTGAACTAACTTTGCATTCCTAGGATAAATTCCACTTGGTCATGGTATATAACTCTTTTTATATGTTGTTGGATTCATTTGCTAGTACTTTATAAAGATTTTTATTCCCATATAAATATATCGGTCTGCAGTTTTCTTTTCTTGGAATGTCTTTGTCTAGTTTTGGTATCAGGGTAATACTGGCCTTATAGAATGAGTTAAGAAGTGTTCCCTCCTATTCTATTTTTTGGAAGAGTTTATGAAAAATTGGCATTAATTCTTTAAATACTTGGTAGAATTCATAAGTGAAGTCATCTGGTCCCGGGCCTTTGTATGTAGGAAGTTTCTTGATTACTAATACAAACTCTACTTTTCACTGACTAACCAAATTTTTTCTTTTTTTTCTTTAGTTTCAGTAGTTTGTCTATTTCATTTAGGTTACTTAATTTTTTGGCATACAATTATTCACAGTATTTGTGGTAGGAAGAATAATGGCTCTCCAAAGATACCTTACACCCGTGAATTTATTATGTTACATGGCAAGGGGAAATTAAGGTTGCAGATGGAATTATGTTTGCTAATCATCTGACCTCCAGAAAAGATTATCCTGCATTACCTGGATGGGTCCAATATAATCACAAGGGTCATTTAATTGTGGAAGAGGGAGGCAGACAAGAGTAAAGCAATGTGAGAAAGACAATGTTAATCCCTTGACAGGTAGAAAGCGTAATGGTGTTGATTCTTATACATCCACAAGTGTCAGGGAAGCCCGGGCACAGTGTAGCTCAGCAAAGCTTGCACTGTGCATACTTCATTCCCAAGGGACCTGGAGAGGGTGGTTCCTGCACATGCAAAAGACCTGATGAGATTTCTGTGAGTTCCACATGGGCCAAGATGTGTGTGTATGTCTAAGGGTTTTCTGAGAGGTCTGTGCTGCACACAGATTGTGAAGTCCCAGTGGAGGTTGGGTAAGGCATCAGATTTTTTTTTTTTTT